TCCCCGCCCTTCTTCCCGCCCTGCCGGGACTCGGCCCCTCTGTGCAGGAAGGACGGTGAGGTGTGTGTGTCCAGAGAAGCGCGACGGAGCTGGGGAAGGGTCTGGAGCACAAGGGGTGTTAGGAGCAGCTGAGGGAGCTGGGGCTGTTTAGCTTGGAGGACGCTCAGGGAGACCTTACTGCTCTCTACAGCTACCTGAAAGGTAGGAGTAGCAAGATGGCGTTCGGCCTCTCCTCACAGGCAACAGGTGCCAGTACGAAAGGAAATAGCTTCAAGCTGTGATAAGGAAGGTTCAGGTTGGACATCCGGAAAATTTCTTTACAAAAAGGGTGATTAAATATTGGAACAGGCTGCCTAGTCAGGTGATGGAATCACAGTCCCTGGAGGTGTTTAGGGCAAGACTGGACATGGCACTCAGTGCCATGGTCTAGTACACAAACTCGTGTTCGGTCACAGGTTGGACTTGATGATCCCAGAGATCTTTTCCAACCTAAGTGATTCTGTGATTCCTCCCCTCCCTTCCCACCTGCCTCAGTGCATGGACTGAGCACCCCCATCTCACCCCTAGCAGTAAAAACACAGACACACCCTCATGGCACATCTGTCACTACAGTGTTTATTGGACGACTGGACAGGTTACACTTCCATCTCTGAGCAGTAAAGCATCTGCCAAGCACCTGCCACCTCTGTGCAGGTATGACAGGGGACAGGCAGGAACAGGGAGGGGCTGAGGTACACCAAGGTACACCACAGGATCTGCACACACATCTGGCTGTGCACAAAGGTAGCCACATACACCAATACAAAGGTCAAAGCAGGAGTAATAAACCCTACCTTAACATGGGCTGCCTGCAAAGTTTACACTGTTAATTCCAGTCAGGGCAAGCAAAAGATTAAAAGAAAGGTAATAAAAACGTAATAAAACAAAAAGGAAAAGGCACATTGTTACTACATCACTAGAAAACAAGAATTTGATTTAACAGTTCCAAATTAGTGCATGACAAATCACCATATGAAAAAGCAAGTTCAAAAGATAAGGCAGCAATACAAGAGCTGTTGGACTAGACTTAGTAATATATACACCGTACTCGGTGGAACGGGATATCTTTCATCTCTGCCCTGTGATCTCTGGCATAATCCCAAAGATAATAATCGAGTAAAACTGCATTGATTTTTTCATGCATGTCCTGACCCTTCTTCTGATAGAGCTCCTGAAGGTGCTTACAAATCAATGCACAACACCAAATAGAACAGCCACGGATCTCTACCTCTTCTTTGTCTCCAGACTGGAAAAGTGTTCCTGCAGACACAAGAGACAGCAATCCATTTATATGGAGCAGACAGGAGGACAAGGACTGACTAAATTTGTGAATTTTTTCCCCTTCACATTTATTCTGTTGCAAGGTTCTAGTTCTCATGACTTACCCAGCAACTGTTAACAGTGTTGCTACACATTTTCTAATGGTTACTTTAATTTTACCATATTGCACTTAGAAGCTTCCTTCCCATTCAATTCAAGCAACAGCCTGTATTCTAAGGAACTGCTTTAGGAGCAGTGTGTACTGCAAATCATATGATAATTTCTTTGCTTACAGTGACAAAAAAGATAGTCTTTTATAATAGTATACTTTTTAGTATATAATTATTATACTTCATACTATATTTTCTACCAAGATGACTGAAGTCTAAGATTTTAAAACTGAAAACAAACAACCCCCCAAAGGAACTGAAAAGAAAAACAGTGGAATTGTTTAAATGGTAATAATCTCATTAGGATTTGTGGAAGGATAGAATGTCTATGATGTCTATTTAGTTATATAGATATGCATAAAGACACAAATACATGTACAGACATTCTTTTAAAGTTCATGGGCGATTGCATTAATCTGTTTATCTTCCTGAGTATTTCTGAAATTGCATAATAGCACTTCTACATCTAAATACAGTCATTTTACAGTGCAAAAGAGATTGGCTTATTTTTATTCACTAAAATTCATGGTTAGTAAGTATTGGGAAGATGAAATCATGGTTAAAAAATGAAATCATATATATATGTTATAATTATAATAGTAGTTATATAATTTATTATTATTATTATTATTGTTACTACTTTGCTTATTAACTAGCAGTTCAGAGGAATTCCCATGCTTTTACAAATTTGAATTAATGACAAAAATCATTGTTTCTTTTATGTAAACTTCAAAAATTGTAACTATTCTCATTCTGAAAAGTGGTTTTGCAACAGCAGATTTTCAGAAATTCATTCAGAAACTCAAATTATCTTTGAATCTCTTTAATCCCTCCCATATCAGTGCTTAATCCACAAAACAGTTAGGTATTTATAAAAAAAGTAACCTTGAGACCTCACTCAAGATCATGGCTAGAGAAAAAGTTCCTTCCAGTACCTAAGAAATCCCTGAAGGGAAAAATGTGACATAACCCTTACATGGACAATATATCACTTTTTAGAACTAGCCTTAGTCTACAATATCGGGCAGTAAGATTACTTGATATTCTCAAGGACAGAACAAACCTTCACGTAGTTTCTTCATTAATTTTTCAGAATACTTCATTGCTTTTAAGTGAACAAGAACTTGTGGAATTCTGTAGTCAGCAAATATTGTCAGACTGGATATATCATCAAAAGAGCCATCTCCTTTGCCTTCTAAAACACTCCATGTGTCAGCCACAAGTATTTGTGCCCGTTTGTAGAAAGATACCTTCTTTTTCTAAAGAAAGAAATTTATGGATTGTTTAAGTGCCTGATCAATAAATACAGCAAATAACCACTAACCATTTCATATTGTTAAGCAAACATTAGTTAACTAGAACAGAATAAAACTGCAACACTCTTAAATATCTTGAAATCTAAACAATATCAAACTGCAAACATGGATTATGTGAAATGCTCATAAATAAACTGAAATAAAAAAGGAACATAATAGAAGTTACTGCAGCAAATAAAAATTGTTTAGAATATGCCTGGATCTCAGAACACATTCACAGTTGTTTACTGCCATTTGGTAATCACTGTAGTTGAACAACAGCAACATTAATTTTCAGAAACTCTACATCCAACCTTTTAATTTGACAAGAGAGGCATAAGAGGCATGTATTGTACTAGAAAATTAAAACATTTTGTTAATCCATTTATCTGTACTCTTAAAGAAATAGAATTCTGGTGAAAACTTTAATGAATGCTCCTCTTTGTTTACTGCCAAGATGCTGTAACTATTCCTGACAGCAAATCATATTTTTGTCCTTGAATGGTATTCTCCAAAAATACTGGGAAGTTCAACTACATTTCATAGAACAACTTCCAAAACATCCTCAAAACTCCTGCCTTCCATATGCCTCATGCTATACTTAACATAATTGCACAAACTTTCTTCTAGAGAACATAAATGATTTTGTACTTTAAACAACAAAACACCACCTTAAACATCACACGAGAAGTGGTAACAAGAAGTAAATAATTAACAGACCAAATTTTATCATTGCTCCTATGTTCCAAAGCAAGGGTGTCAGTCTTTCATAGCGTTAGGAATTTTCCAGTAGTAAAGTACTGATTGTCTCTAGCACCACACCATTTCCCAAGAGAAGAGGAAGGTGGAATTAGAACAGGCCTTTCATTTCATGCTATAGCTTAATTAGGAAAAAAATATTGTCTGGGACTCATGGCTGAGCAGATAAATTTATAATTTCATTGTTTCATTGTTAACATTTTTGTTGTACAGAACATATTAAGTTTATACAAAAATCTCAATGTGAAAAGGACTATGAAGCATTTTGAGTAAATTTTCCCACTATTTATCAGAAAGCAGGGAAAATCACTAGGTGGATGATACTACATGTCAAATTGGAAGAACTTAAAAACTTCTTTACTGTGGAAGTGACTGCACTGGCACAGATTGTTTAGAGAGATGTGGAGTCTCCTTCCTGGGAAATGCACAAGAACTTTCTGGACACAATCCTGTGCCAAGTGCTCTGGGGATGATCCTGCTTGAGCAGGGAGGCTGGGCCCACTTATGGTATAGTCCTTTAACCCTTACCTAGTCTCTGATTCTGTCTGTGAAAGACTGTAAAGATAGTTCATTTATCAAAAATGGAACTTTTTTCAACATGGCAATATAACTATATCGCTTTTATCTTTTTTTTTCTGCAACACTTTGCCTTTCAGGAAATAGTACCATGTACAGGAACTTTTGCATCTTCTCTGCAGTACAATGTGCCAATATTAAGGAATATACCTAATTATGACCTACTGACATTAAAAGAAAGGAGGAGTATTGTGCTGGCAAAGAGAAAATATGATAGCACAGCCATTTAAAAAAAAGCAAAGAATAGGATCATGAGAATTTTACAACCTCAGTCCCAGGTAATGGATGGTAAGTAAAAGATGAAAACATACAATATAGGGGAAGATCAAAAAGGACTCCACTAAGTCTCTGTCAGAACACAAAAACCCTGATATATGAGTACAATATAGTCTAAAACTTAAACTGCTGTTGGGAATCAAATGCACAGCACAGCATCTAAATACGAATTATCCACCAAGGAGAAAAAAATGTTTTGGAGATTTTGGTCTTGGTTTGCATTTTCTTTTTCAGAAAAACTAACACTGGCCATTTCAGGGATTACATATGTAATTATTAAAAGTATTTTGTATATGTATTTGGAAAAAGATACAGTCAAAAAATTGTGCTAATTTTAGAAGCTTCCCTAGAAGGTCAGCTGCAGCAGTCTGATAGTATGATTCTAATGTATGACTTAACTTATATATATTTCTCCTTTGGAGAGTTACTGAAAAGCACTGGCTTGCTGTTGGATATTTCACCATCTTTCCAGTTCCCTCCTAACCCTTTAGAAGTCTTACTTGTGAGAGCTCAACCTGCTGCCATAAAAATAATGTGATCCATGTCATCACCTTCAAAATACACATCTTGCTTAGTGAAAGCAGAAAAAAAGCTTCCATATTCATGCAACAGGCTTTATTACTAAGTCAGTGCTTACGGTCTGGGATCATTTTTGGATCTGCTTTTCATTCTGTAGTCTGCTGCTGCTTTTAAGGACGCTTGCTTTATAAAGCACTCATCATCATCTCATGAAAGATATAACATCAATGAGTACAGTCACTATAAAAATAAGAAAATATCACTTTACTTAGAAAATATTCCCTTTTTGGTCATAAAAATTGTCAAAAAATTACTTTTTACATTAAAAAACACAAATAAACCCAAATAAACAAAACCAGTAGCTCCAAAGAATAATTCAAAAGAACCTCTGATTTTTTATGTAAATATATTTTGCTTCACAGCAGGAGACAGAAGAAAATAAAATGACACCTCCTACTGAAGGGCAATAAATGCAATAGGTTCAAAGCTTCAGTGACTGGTATTCCAAGAAGCTGAAAAGACTGCACAGACCAGTAGTATAGGCTGTACTGTCACTAACAAAGTCTTCTAGATATAATGATGTAACAGCAGAGTACTACTTCACATACAACTGAGCACATGAGCTGCTACATAAGTCACAGGTGCTAAATGAAAAACATGCCTGTATAGGTGAAAACAAAAAATATCATATGATCCCTGCTTAATTCCCATCAGTTTCTTTCAGTAAATGCTTCAGTATACTGTCAACATTTGTAAAACTGTGGGTTACTTCTAATCTGTAATAATTTGAGTAATGCCTGTTGAATCAACAGCTGTTAGAGGGTGGAGTCCCAGTAGCTGTGCGTTAATTCTACCAGAGTTTCACTTCCTTCATTAGCTGCAGAGAGCCTTAAGGTAAAAGAAAAAGAAGATGGTGGAAGGAGGGTTGTCAGCAATACAAGGCAAGTGGGAAAAAGAAAAAGAAAAAGGATTCCCATTTTTCAGGCAGGAATTATCTCAAATACTATGCATTTTTAAGGAGTACAAAGGAAGTGCGATCTAACTGGGAACTCAGAATATACCAAATTAAATTACAGTAAAGTGATAAAGAAACAGCATATGAGAAAAAAGGTACTCCTCTGGTGGGAAAAAGAAAGTGACTCTTGTCCTGACTAGTTGTGGACTATCAAGTGTCTTTAACTGTTACTAAACAGTAGGATTTTTTTCCAGAGCTTTAGAATTAACTTACCTCAAATACAGCTTCATCTCTGTAAGAAGGAAAATTTTCCAGTATGAGATGTAGCAGCTTCTGAGCACTCTTCTCACTCATTTTAACGCAGGTGAGGAAGGACCCTCCAAACTTCTCTAACAGAACTATTCCACTTTCGTTCAGCACCCGGTGTCTTTCTTCAATCAAGGGCAAAGGCACTTCTGTGTCAGAGCGAAATACGTGCCTAACTTGGTCAAGCGTCATGGTGGCAAAATAGGACGCACTGGTGATAGGTATTCCTTCAGAAAAGTGAAAATAAGATAGTTAGGCTATCACAAAACATAACATATAGACCTAGTGGTCTGCTAAAGGAAAAAACTTCTATAGGAAGATCTAAGAAGTCCATCAACTCTTAAACCCACCTTTGCTTTCAGCAATAACCGCATCCACAGAGCTGCTCACAATTAAAATTATGAGTGCATAAAATGTTTTCCTCTACAGCAAACTTCCAATATACAACCATAGAACTGCTGTTACTTTCTGTATGCAATTTCCCCAGCTGCTTAGTTTTCATATTTTAAGTGTGATGTTTACATAGCACACTAGCAAATACAGTCAGTATATAGCTAGTTTAGTCAGAATAGGCCTGTTTTCCCATGAATCCTAATCATGCTGTGCATTTACAAAAAGTGTCTTAACGCTAATGCCACCTTAATTTACTAAATAACGATGCAGAAAATGAATTAAAACCTTCATCTATATCTACTAACTGTTGGGGAGTTTTTTTCTGAGAACAGCAAAAAAAGTGAGTGCTAAAGTACTGGGCTTAAATACAAAACATTAAAATACTGGTTTTAAAATACTGGTTTGAGGGGCATATGGGTTTTCAGATTTACTTTAGACACTTGAGCGTTTGATTAGTCCAGAGGATTCTCACTTCATGCCTCATTTATTCATTTGCCATGGAAATATGCAACTTAACTCAAGAATACATGTGAGATAACCCAAGTCACACACAGCTGACTACTGGAAATCCTTAAAGTCTCTTGAATGGAAGAAATAGCCCAGATACAGCCAAGAGTTAGGTAGTTTCAGTACAAGGGTATTTTGAAATCACTTCCAGTTCCCTTCCCCAAGCTCAACGGGACGCCTGCACACACACAGCTACTGACACGGCGAGCAGCAGTTCCCAAGAGCGTGTCCCAGTTCCGAGGCGCCGCCTTCATTTAATACACGACGCTCGGCTTCCGACGCCCCCCGCCCGCAGCCCCGGCCCGGCCCCGCTTCCCCGGCGCCCACTGACCGTCGTCCAGGGCCCTATTGACGGCGGCGCACAGCGACCAGTAGCCGCTGTAGGTTTTATCCTTGTACTTCACAAGGTACTTGCGCTCCTCCTGCTCGGACCAGAAGGAGAAGTTGAGGGTGTCCACCAGGAACACCCAGTCTACAGCCTCCTTGTCGGCGGCCCGGGGGTTCAGCTCGTGTAGGCTTTTCCACCCCGCCAGCCCGAACTCCGCTGCCGAGGCTTTGTCGAACAGGCTCTCCGCCACCCGCCGCGCTCCCTCCTCGTCCACGGAGACATCTTTGCTGTGCTCGGCTATGAACTTGGCGGACTCCAGGGGGGACGGGAACACCTCCATGCTTGGCAGGAAACACGCACGCTGCCGAGGTCAGCCTCTCCGCCGCGCTTCTCCCGGGGTGCGCACTGGCAGCGGTCCCGCTCCGCTCCCCGCCCCGCTCTCCGGTGCTGCCGCTGCGCGCAGGCGCGAGCGGAGGCGGGGCCCGGGCGGGGCTCGGGGGCGGGGCCGAGCACGGGAGTCAGGCCCGGGAGCGCTCGGGCCGGCACGCTCGTGTTGAGTCGCCCCCTGAAATCCTGCCAGGCTCGAGCCGTGGGCAGACTCAGCTTCATAGACAAGTTTTCCGGAAGATTCCAATCGTTGAAAAAGAGACGGATTAAAAAAAAATAAACCTGACTGAGAAACGAACAAAAATGTGCTATTGACTTGTGGAGCTCTTTTCCTCGATAAAAACAGGAAGAACCAAACGAAAGACGTTCCAAAACCCCTTTTGGATACATGCATAAGTTGGAAGCACCCAGAGAAATTGAGCCTGTTTTAGTTAACTTGCATTTTGCTCAAAACCTTAGCCTGGATTACACTCTAGAATTTAGGTGCCAAGCTGTGTATCAAGCCGGCTGACTTCTCACTGACTTAACAAGAGTGATGGCATTTCCTTCTATAGAATTCAGTACCACTCTGCCAAGGGAGCCAGCCTTATGCATAACATTTCAGGCTCCTCGCCTTCACCATGCCATTTTAAAGGGCAGCTGTAATAAAAAGGCAAGTTCATGCACCACAAATCGGCGGAGGAGGAGGAAGAGACACCACAAACCAACCAACCAAAGACAATAAAAGAATCTTCACTTAGTCTGGAGTCATCATATCTCCATGGGCCACACACCTTTAAATTTTTTCATCTGTTTTTATTCAGGAAGTGAAATTAAAACTTTAAACTATAAATACAAATGCCAAGGTATTACATGAGATATCCAGAGGCGGTGTATTTTTTTAATTTCTCACAAATAATTCTTACGGAACTCGACATACATCTGGGAAACAAGGTGAAGTTCTGCATACAATGGAAAACAAGTTACATAGTTATATCTCATCTCGCCAATTTGCAATTCCTACCTCATACAAACAAAAGCTCAGGAAACAGTTATAATTTTTTCAGTAATGGTAGAGCAACTCTGCATGAAGCAAGCTGTCTAAAACCAGGTGTACTTTACAACTGTTTACTCAGTGACATCACAAAGTTTTAAAGTATTTTATTTATATACTGTCACCAATATATATAGGTATTGCAAAGAGGGCCAAACACTTGCAAAAATGTCAAGTTTTACACATTTGCGTATTTTCACATTTCTGCCCCCACAGCAAAGCAGTTACTGTTTTCACACGATCTCTTTTAATTTGTCAAAAAATCCCACATAACTCCATCTACATATCAAGGAAATTGAAGAGCAAGCTTAACAGCAACTTTAATTTATAAGGGAAAAAAAAAAAACCCTAGGTGAATCGATTTTTTATGACCTTATGCAGACCTGAAGAAAAATGACCACCAAGAATAGGTTCACTAAATTTATTTAAAAATCCTAGAATGTTTCTTACAAAAATGGGTTTCATTCTGCACACTGCTCTCAACAAATGCCAGGGACATGGGACCTACCATAGTCTCCCCCTTCAAAGTAAGATACAGTGTACATAAAAGCAGGGTGTTCACAACAATTACAGAAAAACAGTACAATTTACCACCAACAATGAACAAAAATAGAACTCATTCTCTCTGCCACTTTAAAATTTCCATGTTAGTCTCGTGCTCCCATCCCCCCCCATGTATCTGTAAGGAACTAAAACATTACATCTGGTGTACAGCAAAGATTCCACTACACCTCAAATGCAGAACACCTATGAAGCAGAGGAATGTTGGCTTTTTAAACAGAAGCAGATAAAAAAAAAAAGGGTGCAGGACTCCTTCAGTTCTTCACTAGTCTTAGAAAAACTTTCCAGAATACTGCTTCACACTATAAAAAAGAAAAAATAATCTTGCATTAGAATCCTTCAACATCTGCATACTGCTTCACACTATAAAAGAAAAAGAAAAAAGCATGTATTAGAATGATGGACCATACATCTTGCATCAACATTCATAAATCATATTAAATTACAAATTACTAACACATTTAAAAATACATAATTTTAAAGTGTCAATGGCTAACAATTATATTAGTGTATTTCAGGCATAGTTAAATATTAGTAATCTAAGATATTAAAACTGCTATAGCAGCCAGAATGTTAATACAGCAAATGCTATCTGTAGCTGTTAATATTTGGCAGAAAAGGCAAAGTACTGTCAGCAAGGTGTGAAATGCTGCATAACAGCCCCAAATCGATTTCAACTTGTCCTGTAGAGGCATGGTCTGTGCCATATGGCAGACTGCGATTTGTTGTCAATTTAGTTATCTAAAAACAACAAAATCACTAGTCTTCCACACAGAACTAGGCCAACATCCACTGAAATCTTCTATATTTTCTACAGGCTCTATGAAATTTATTACAAGTAGTTTTTTTTGCAGCAGTTTTCACCAGAGAAATGAGAGGACTGCTTGGTTAAGATGTCTTCCAGCAAGATTAGTTTTGAGGGTGTCTTCATTTTAATTAGAATGGAGAGCAGAAGAGAATCAAGGCAGAACTACCACTAGAGAAGTTAGGTTCAAATAGTTACTTAAAACCTGCCTTCTTAAAAAAGTGATTCACAGAGGAGAGCAGTTTTATAATATAAATGTTAATTTGACAGTAAGGACAACAATAAACTTTAACTTGCCTGTTCTGCAGCAAATACTGTGCATTTTGTATCTGGTCCTGTGTTCCTGTAATAGTTATTATCCGATCTTCTGAGCCTTCTAGTGGTTCATCAATTTTGATCGAAGCTCCTGACTCATGACGTATTTGTTTGATTCTCTGGCCTCCCTTTCCAATAATAGATCCTGCCAACTAGGAAGAAAGCAAAAACATTAATTCCCTGATACAACTACCTTTCCAAAAGTTCGAAAATTACAACACCATTTGAGTAGTTTCCACAAATTCAGTTTTAAGTGCTGCAATGGGAGCTTTTTTCTTTGTAGCTTAAAAATATCCCCTGTGGTATTAATTGTATAAACACAGGTGAGATTAAACTGGGAGAACCAGCTCTCATTTGCAAAACATGGGTTACAAGGACCCTATCTATTACTGAGTATTAACCACAAGTAGAATTCTTTAACTTGTCTCTGAAGACAGAAACCAAATAGTCAAGCGTTACACTGCTGGCAATTTAGAAACAAATTTACAAAACAATTTACTTGTTTTGTACTAGAAGTACTTAATCAAGCATTTAAAGTATTTCTGATTTACTTAAACAGTCTGAAAAATGGCTGTGACTTTTTTTTTTTTTTAAGAGAAAGCCTGAATTGAAAGCAACTCAACTTTACTTACATCTTTGGGAATCGTTACTTGTGTTGTGATGATGGGTCCACCAAGATCTCCATATGAACCACGCCCCCCTGCATAAGAATAATCTGATTTAAGTGTATGCATCAAGCCCTTTAGTAACTACATAATGAACTACATGCAAAGGTTCTATATGAACACTTACCATAACCAGAGCCACCCTCAAACTGTAAGAGAAAAGAGAAAAAAACATTAATGTGAACAGCCACGTTTCATTAACACATTTTTACCTTAAGCATTATATTGTTAACTTTGAGCCCATTTAATCTAACATCACAACCCTCAATCTGATATAAATACAACAGTGTTATGCCATCAAGGGCATCCTGAGGCAAAGATGGAAGACCAGAAACAAAAGGGGTGGGTGGGAGAGATCTCATTAATCTCTGTCCAATTTGGACCAAAGGCCATCTTGTACAGGACCACAAGTTGGATGCAATGATTCTTGTAGGTCCCATCCAACTCCAGATATTCTGTGATTCTTATCCTGCCCTATTAAAACCTTTAAGAATAACACATAAAACGACAAAGAATTCTGCCATGCCAGTATACCAAGGCAGTCTCACCATCTCAGCTTCTTGAAGACAGCTGCTAATGCTGATCTACTTGTGACCTCTGTACTAAACATTAGAATACAAAATCAGAGTAGAGCCTTATTAATACTACAAATACAGCTCAAAAGATATTCCAGTCTCCAGTTCTGGGGCTAGAAGTCTGCCCAGCAAATCACCCTACTACATCTACACCTCTGATTCTGACTATGCTACAAACCCTTTACATCTTAGAATAAATAATCACGACAATAATTACTTCTGTTACATTTGAACCATCATACACTGAATGTAAATGACTGCAACGAGCATTTCTGGCTCTGTTATTTTTAGGATTTGTAAACTTGCATTTGACATCTTGTTCTCATTTCATCTAATGTGTTCTAAGTGTGCAAAACCATGTATTTATACTTTGCCACAGAAGCAAAGAATAAATCTATGTGGTTCTCTCAAATTCAACTTCTGATGACATCTCAGTGATAACATTTAAGAAAAGAGTAAAAAATACCCAATGTGCACTGACTGCAAGAGTGAGCAAGGATGAAGAAAGCGCTTCAGAACTGGCATGGAGACTACCCTGCAGCCCATGGAGAAAACAACACTGGAGAGGATCATTACACTGTAGCCCACTGACGGATGCTATGCTGAGAGCAAGTAGAAATGCCCAGAAGGAAGCCACACAGGCAGATACCTGTGCCCTGTGGGAGGACCAACACCAAATTAGTCTGTTCCTGAAGAACTGTACCACACAAAGGGGACCCACACTGAAACAGTTCCCTAAGAACTGCAGTCCACTGGAAACAGATCATTTGAGCAGCTCCAGCTGTATCACTCCATGGAAAGAACCCTACACTGTAGAAGGGGAACAGTGCAGAGAGGAAGGAGCAGTGACAGGTACGACAAACTGACCGGGAACCTACCATTCCCTACCGCCCCTGCACCATTCATAGCAGAGAAATAGTAGAGAAATAGTAGAGAAATAGCAGAGAAAGGAATGAAGGAGTGAAAGCTAAGTCTGTAAAGAAGTGGAAGTGGGTGAAGGTGTTTTTCTGTTTCTCACCATGCTACTCAAAGTGGCAGTAAACCTAGGCAAGCCAACTCTGTTTTGCCTATGATGTTAATTAGCAAGCGATCTGCCTGTCTCCATCATGAGCCAGACTTTTCTGTCGTACTTT